GATTGAAATTCTAAGGTGTGGCTCTTTTCCGGTATCATTAAAAGGGGTAAAGCTATGTCAAACAAAAAAGGCCAATTTTAATTGCTGGGTTGAAGCCCCCCCCCTCCTTCCTTTTTTTCCCTTTTTTTAAGATGACACCCCCCCCCCCCCCCCTCTTTCCAGGCTTAAGATTATAATATTTGAATTTGAACGTCCCCTAAGTAGCGGGGCCTCTACTCATTTGAAATAACATTTTCTGTGGCGCTTGATCAGGCTTTAAAAAATATAATATTATTAGCATCATAAACAACAATATAGTGACTGCAGCGACTACGGGAATGAATTAATGTTATGGCCGTTTTCAACGACGCTATACATGTACTGTACAATGCACTAGGCTGAGATCCTGGGTCAGTGACAAAACCGATGTCTGTGGTGTAACGGTTAGGCCCTCCACCCTTGCATGCACAAGGCACGAGTTCGATTACCTTGTGGGGTGTAGAGAATTAATTTCTATCAAATATCGTGCCTCCGTCTTTCTGCTGAGACATTGTATTCCTCACATTAGTCACATCCCGGGTTGGCCCTAATGTTCGCCTCCTAAATAAAACTGATCCAAACTGTGTCGATGGGAATGCTCCATATAGTGAAAAAAAAACCCCGACAAGCAGTGGACAGTCTTAACAACTTAAATGTTTTGGTATGTGGCGGTTTGAGTTCATATGTGTTATGGTCACATCAGATCAGCAAGCATAATGATTAACTGGCTGTTACATTTCACCAGATATCAGATTAGAACAAAAGTGTGGTTGTACTGGAAAAAAAGAAGAAGCAAACCACACAGGAGGATTCAACACACGCCACCCACCAACCGCCTAATACGAAATGGGAATCCAGCGACATCGCATCGGAAACGACCTAAGCCTAACACACCGCACCCATCGTGTGAACTGCATGCACAAGAGTGTGCTCCCGAGATAAGAACGAGTGATAAGAGCACTTTAAAAAACATGAAAGAAAAATTAAAATAGTCCAAGAAAACAAAGCGAATAAATACGTGGGCGTAGGCTCAATTAGTAGTGGACGCTATAGAAATTATCTGCGTAATATCATTAATAATAATAATAATAATAATAATAATAATAATAATAATAATAATAATAATAATGACAACAAGAATACCAACAATAACAACAGCTACAACAGCTACAACATAAAAAATAACAACAAAAACGACAAAAACAACAACATTGGTTGGACGGCCTCACCCGCTACCCAAGGGAGGCGGTGGCCCTGGCGAAGAGCACGAACGCTCTTCGGGGCTCCAAACATTTCGAACGGATAGGCTACCACACACACACGCACACACACACAACAACAACAGCAACAACAATTTAACTCTAGAAGTACTAGATTTTGTTAAAGAAAACTTTAATTCATCAAGACAATATCGATATTATCAGTCGTTCAAAAGGAACAGCACAGACAGTAAGAGAACAACAAGCGTAAATCAGTTATAAAGAAGAAAAATGTTAACTTATGTATGAGATTGCAATAATAGTTTTTTTTTGCGAACGCCAGCGCCCTTACATTTCAAAGCTCTGATACTACATAACACTAACACGATATTACACGAACATTATAACATACATGACATGTAATTTTATTAACCTCTTCACTGCTGAGTAGGCGTGTGTTCTGGCTTGTATTCTCCACTTATTTTGTTTCATCTAGTTGACAAAAGAAGTTTTAGTTGGTTGCTATAGTTACCGTTTATGATTTTGCTTATTCTGAAACAATTCTCTGTGTTAAAATATTCCAAGAACTAACATTTTATCTTGTCGGTACAGATGTTGATGGAAATGTTTCAGCAGTGAAGAGGTTGATAGTAATAGAAGACAACACAATGTAATAAATTAATGTGTACTGTTGCATATTTATGCGCTCGTCGAGATGATTAATTAACATTTTAGAAGAGACAAAAGATGGAACGATGACTGTTGTTTGGAGGTGAATGAATGTGCATGTACATATGAATTTGATAATTGTTATATTATGATGAATGTGCGTGTACATATGAATTTGATAATTGTTATATTATGATGAATGTGCGTGTACATATGAATTTGATAATTGTTATATTATGATGAATGTGCGTGTACATATGAATTTGATAATTGTTATACAGCTGTATTATGATGAATGTGCGTGTACATATGAATTTGATAATTGTTATACTATGATGAATGTGCGTGTACATATGAATTTGATAATTGTTATATTATGATGAATGTGCGTGTACATATGAATTTGATAATTGTTATAATATTATGATGAATTGTAGATTGATTCACAGTATAAAAGTATTTGTAACAATTTTGTCACCGACCGGCTTTACATTATAATATAGAGAATGAATAAGGCATTTATCTCGTCACTGATCAACAAACAATCTTTCATAGTGTTACATTTATTGTTACATCAAATATCACAGATATGTCGTGGAGATTTGCACTGTTCTGGAGTTCCGTGTTGGAAAATGAGAGATGTTGAAAACGTTTGTTTTCCAACACCTCTTCCGGTATTCCAAAGATGACAGGAGTCCCTTCTCATTTCTCAGCAAATCCTGGAGATTTTGGGGTTGGCAGACGTGGAAGGAGGGGAATGGGGGTGTGGGGGGGGGGGGCAGTTTTTTGTTTCCAGGGTGGGGGGAGGGGGGGGGGGAGGTAAAGTGCAAAAGGAAATACGGATTAATTTGGTTAAAAAAAAAACGAAAGGGGGCGGTTGGAAGGATATATATATAGATCTATATATATATAGATAGATAGATAGATAGATAGATAGATAGATAGATAGATAGATAGATAGATAGAAAGATAGATCTATATATCTATATGTATATATAAAACAAATCCCTCGATTGCGTGGGAGAATTTAAGGTCCCCCCCTGAAAACACAAAAACCACCCCAAAAAAGACTTTTTTTTTCGAGTTTTTT